GGTGGACTTCGTTGACAACACGATAAAAAGCCTCGATGAGAAGCTGCGCAATTTGCTTTACCAGGAGTACGTTCCCACTTCTTCGGCGTCCGCGGGGACCCCCGACACCTCTGCCCCGTTAGAGCAGGGCGACCCCGAGTTCCACTTGCCACCGCTGCCCGAAGATCGAGTCCCCGTGGCGGCCCAGGAGCTGAGAGAACCAGGCCACAACGCTGCAGACACCAGCCAGGGGATGAAGGATGCTGCCGAGGACTTGTCGGTGCCGCTCGTGCCACCCGAGGCCTCACCCTGCTCAGCCCTGGTTAGTTTGGCCCTGGCTCAGCCCCGCGCCCCGCTGCGGGGGCAGCCCCAGAGCAGGGCTCAGAACCAAGAGCCTGTGGCAGGACACGCAGATTTCTCACTTCTTCAAACATCTTCTGTTTCTGCTCCTGGCTGTGTGGCCTCCGGTCTGCTGAACTTTCCAATGGGAAAGTTCAGTTCTTACAGTCAGGTGCATTCTGACGCATTTTACACAAATGCTTCTTAGCTGAACTTTCCTTTGGGTTTTAAAGCAGTTTATAATTCACACAAGACACAAGAATGTCCCGTGTCCAAAGCAGGCAGAAATGTGATAATTTTTTTGTAATTTAAGAATGTAAAACAAGTACAAGTTTTGATGAAGACAAATATGCTTCTATAGGAATATTTTTTAATATAAATTCATGGCAGTGATTATAATGCCAGCCTGAATAAAATCAACAAGTCAGGAGCGTTAGCTTTGTTCAAGTGCTGCAGCTAATGGAGGACACTCTATAAGTAGAAGCTTGCTCTGCTTCCAGTCATGATTTCTTTTGTCTTCCCCTGAACTTGGTAGAGCAAGACTTCACTAGGAAGCAGCTGAGGAAAGCAGGAGCAGGTGGTCTGGGTCATTTTTTACCCCGTGTCTTGATCGTGCACCTGTGTTACGTTCTTTCAGATAAAATCCTGAGTTTTTGAAATGCAACAGATTTGCAGCACTTTCTGCTGAAAGATCAGTGTATGTCTTACATTAAAAGTAGCATTTTTTAAGATTATGACATCACCAGTAGCAAGGATGTGGCTGTTCTGTGTAGTGTCAGCTGGATGAACTGTATCAACTGCTTGAAAGATGCTGTATGTTACAGGAAAGGTGGCTGCACATGAGTGACTCTCTCCAGCATATTGTTTATAATGATACATGACTTTGTACAGCAGAGAAAATTCTCTCTCTATGAAAGGTTTTGTGTCTCTCCAGTAATTTCAATTTGTCCTATGAAAATCTGTGCCAATAAAAGAGAGAATTTCTGAAGAGAGACATGCAGATGAGGAATGCACAATCTGGCTGAAAAAGAAAACCAGAAAAAAGCCCAACCTGAGAGATATAATTCAGTACCTATTTTTGTTCTCTCTGTGATGTTGCCACTGCCTTTTTTTCTTCCAAGAGAGGAAAAAAAAATATGGAGGAGTTGAAGGAAAAGGTAGAAGGGCACCTCCATAGGCATCAGAAGGTAGTTTAGTATGCCACAGAAGTGTGAGGGAAGAGAGAGAGAGAAAGGGAAGGAGAATGCATTGCCTGTCTGGTTTGTGTGAGAGACTAAAATTATTTCTTTTCTTTCTTTTTACCAAAAGTTTGAACAGTCAGAGGTGACCAGCATTGGTGTTGAGTCCTTAGAAGCAAGAGGTGGGTCAGCAAGCACAAAAGGTAATGCTCCTTTGGTGGGCAATGATGCTTCTGCATGTGTGGTCCTCTCATCTGGTGTCCCCTTTCTGCTCACCCTGCTGATGAACTGCAGAGCCCTGCCCACACAAGGCTTTTTTGGTCCTAATTATGCTATAATTACTATTGCATGTCTCACTTCTCTCCAGCTTCCTAGAAAGAAACTGCCTCACAGGTGGATATCTTTGAAACTATAAGTATGTGATGCTTGGCTGTTGTGTGGGTGCAGGCTATTCTCATGTGTCCTGCTTGAAATATTAAAGGTGAATCCCAAAAACCAGAGGACAGAATTGCTCTCTATTACACCCCTCCACCTTCCCAAGGGAAGACAGAAGGGGAATAAGGAAGAGAGACTTAAACTTTGGAAATTGAAACTAGATACAATTTACTATAACACAAGATAAAAGGGTAAAACGATGATGGCAGGGATATGGGAAAGGCAGGGCTCCTCCAGGGGAGAGGTACACGGCTCCTCACAGCACCTGATGCAGGTGGATTCAGGAGTGAGCACCTGGGAAGCCCAAGGAAGCAGCAGCAGCCCCGGCAGGGAGAAAGGAGCAGGAAGGGAGCAGGCCCAGCTTCCAGCTCTCCTGGCTTTGATAGATTGTGACAGGGAGTGGGTGGGAATCCTGACCCTTCCCGTCTTTCAGGGTCCAAGGACCCTCTCTCTCTAGACATGTCCAACACTGTGCCAGGGTGTCCCAAATCGTAACATCATGGAAGGCTGTGTTCCCAGTAACAACTCTCTAGTGCTCCTAAAAAGTCCAAAAGTCTCTCAGATTTCCTGGGTTTCATAAAAATGTGTTGACAAAAATGCCATGATTGAGGGTTAGCACCTCTGAGACATTTCTAGGAAGTCCCATGGAAGGGCAATGGCCCTTCAGGTACTTCAGATACAACAGCAGTTTCTCTGATAACATCGTAGGAGCCATAGTAAGAAACTGGGTATTTATCATGCTCCATTTACCTGTCTTGCAAGTTGCAGGAGGTTTTAAGGGCTGAGGAACCCAAAGCTGCTTCTGCTGTCAGTGGTGGTGTTGGGGATGGCTTAGAATAGATTTTTTTTTTTGGTAATTTATTTTTTTTTTTAGATTGTCATGGCAAAGCTGGCCACCAGGTTTGTGCAATAACAGGGATCATTCTTGTCCTTGTGGGTGTAAATTTTCTGCTTTTAGGTCAGTGTCAGAGGGGAAAGTTTTGGGCAGCCTGCAGTCACCTGTCTTGCAGACAATGAAGAGAGAATGCAACTGGCATGTAACACTATTTAGTAAAATTAATGTAGCTGAATGCCACCAAGTAGAGATGTATTTCACTGTTTCAGAACTGCAGAGTGACAATATGCCAAAAGAAAGCAGCTTTTTAAAAACTTACATTTATAGGTTTGACTTCAAAACCAGTCTCCTGGTCGTGAAATAATTGTCTTGATGATTGCCACTGATATTTTGCTCCTTGTGTGCCTCTGAGGTCCAAGTGGCCATCTTTAGAGGCAGTGATTTCCACATTCAGCAGTGTATGTTGAACTTCATTTCAGGCCCTTTTAGTTGTCTGTGTCAGTGTCTGTCCAGTGAATGATGTGAGGTACCAGCCCAGCTGTGGGCAGCTGCAGCATTTTGTGTGCATGACTAGCCAAGTGCAGTTACTTTTTTTGAGACATCAGGAACACCTTAGTAATGCAGGCCTAACTTACCACGCAGATTTCATTCTTCTTGTTTTCTCTGTACAAATTTTTGGCTGACCAATTAAATTCCACACTCCTATTGCAATTTGAATTCCACAACTCAGCAGATTGAAGAGAGTGCCCACGTGCAAATATTTTATATTGCCATTGGTGTTGCCTTCCACATTATAGATCTATTATTACAAAGACTGGATATTTAAATTATTCCTCAGTGCTAGACTTTATCACACTTCAATTTATCAGAATAAGCAGGTTGGCTCTTACTATCCTAAAGCATTCCAGACATGAATATGTTTTCTTTTTCAACTTGTGAAACAGGTTCAGCTGCAAGCATCACTTCAGCTCCTTCTGCTACAACAAAAGGCCTCCTTCAGGTAATCAGAAACTAGGAGCAGTTTTATCCTTGACTGTCACAGTTACTTCCAAATTCAGCTGCATTATTTTCTCCAGGTTGCACCTGCATCATCAAGCATAGCTAAACAGATGGAAATTTCTGAAAGGAGCGAGAAGGAAAAGACTCTGACTTTGTCTGCACATGATAACGTAATGCAGATATCTGCAGCAGATGGGGTGATAAATTACCTTCAAAGGGATGACTCTCTAGACTCTGGTTCCTATGGAAAACAGGCTGAAACTCTCGATAGTGGCACACCAGCCAAAACTATTGGCAGGTTTTCAGTGATCAGCACGCAGGATGAGTTAACTTTACCAGCGCCGCACTGCTTAAGGTTCTCGGCACCCCCAGATGTCTACTTGGATGAGCTGCCCTCCAGCCCTGACCTGAAGACAGCTGTCCGGCGGGTGCAGACAGCCTCTTCTGTGGATGTCCTGTGCGACCAGGGCTCGAGTGATTCTGCTGAGGAGCCTTTCCACTGTCAGTCAGCTGCTGCTGCACAACTGTCTCCCCCAAGCAGTAGTGCAGCCAGTGACTTAATTAAAAAAGCAGCTGCTTTTCTGCAAAGATCCAGCAAAGCTAGCTTGCCAGGCCTCGAGTCACCTAATGGGCAGGGGACAAAAATTCCGACCATCAACATCACATCCTTCCACTCACAGTCGTCGTACATGAGCAGTGACAACGACTCGGAATTTGAAGATGCAGACATGAAGAAAGAATTGCAGAACCTGAGAGAAAAGTAAGTCAAGTTTGCAAGCACTGCTGGGGGAGCTCCTGTTGAGATCCTCAGGCAGTTGTCTGCATGTCTTCAGCAAATATGGGGTTTTCATAGCTGTGAAGAGTAAACTGGTGCTGGGCAAATTAGGTATTGCTAGGACCTTCCCCCAGATGCATCCTTTCATACATCACTTCATTGGTCAATTCCATTTAGAAGAGCAGTTTACTAATAACTTGTTTTTAACAGTGCTGCTGCAGTGCCCAGTTTCCTCACTGCACAGCTCTGTTGATGTGGTGGCACATGGTAGCCCTGGCAGGTGTTGTGTGGGTAGGTTCCTGTGTGCACGCTTAATAAAGGTCACATAAAAATGACCTGGATGGTCATCGAGGGCTGCTGTGATGTTCTCTTCATGCCCTTCTCTGCAAGGTTGATTCAGACCCACCACACTTCCCAGGATGTCTTCTACGGCTGATAAACTAGTATCTGTCAGGCAGGTCAGACTCTGCCTCCTGTCCAATGTCTTGTCAAGTCATCTGTCCAGCCTTCACTGGAGGCTGCCATGCTGGTGCTCTCAGAACTAGCTTCTTTAAATGTCAACCTTTTCTTTCTTTCCTGGCACGTGATGGGCAAAAATTAGCATTAGATGGTAGTTTAACAAAAATGTTTAACTTAAGGAATGATGGTTTTACTGAATATGGATGATGCTTCCTTTTAAAACAGAACTACAGTCACAGGAAACCTTTAAACTGACTTTATGGCATAATGAAATCAGTGTGTTAATGGCATTTTTAAGGGAAGCACTTTTGTTTTCCTTCAAAACGATGTAGATGCTTTAAGAATTAATTTTTTTGAAGCTGCTGGTTTGAAAAGAGGAATTCTAGAATAGCTTGAAGTTCCTGTCAGATCTCATGTCAAAACCAGTTATTTTTACTGAGGATGTTGAAAATCTTTTTACCTGTCTAGGTTTCTGTCTTATAAATGAATATATGAGAAGTCAGTCATCACGTTTGCCAGGTAGATTGATACAACTTCTTATACTTTTGGATGAGCAGTTGATTGTTTTATAACCAAAGGCTGTTTTGCTTTTTTTTTAATAACTCATCATGCTGTCAAGACATGGTGTTTTATCAAATACATCACTAGCAGAGTTCTTTGTTTTTATGTCTAGGCATATGAAAGAAATTGCTGAACTACAGACTCAGCAGAAGAATGAGATAGAGGCACTGTATATTCGCTTAGGGAAACCCCTGCCTCCCAACCTGGGCTTCCTTCACTCAGCCCCACCCAGTGGCCGTCGCCGAAGAACCAGCAAAAACAAGTTGAAAGGTGGAAAACTATTGAACCCTCTGGTCCAGCAGCTCAGGAGTGGAACATCAAGCACAAGTAGGTACACTGGGTCGCTTTTCATATGCCTGTTGGCTGTGTCAGCTGTGGGGTGCTGTGTATTGCAGGGACTGCAGGAAAGGCTCTGCATTTTTATTGTTCTTCCTGCTGTGACTCAGGCTGGTGTGTCCTGCAAACTGTTTTTGAAGAGCTTCCTTTGGGACAGGCTTGTTCCAGCTGCCCAGGGCTGACCCATGTGTGCCTCGTCTGCCTCAGTTACAGTGCTTGGCAGAGAAACAATATTCCACTTCAATTTGGAATGCAGCCTGATTACATTTTCTCATCCTTTTTCCAAATGAAATTTATTGATGTTTGTATTCACTTCTTAGGTGCTGTTATCCTCTGTTGATTAAGTGCTGTATCTTGTTTAGTTTTTTCCTACAAGATGCCATATATGTAAGGTGGGGTTGCATTTGCTTCCTGAAGGATGGGACATAAAAACAGTTACAAAACTGTGATGGATTCTTTGACCATCTGAAATAATTTGAGATTTTTCAAACGGGTGCAGTTGTGAGTCATTATCTCTTTGGAAACTATAAAGATACAATTCAACTGGGAAGTGTTGATACACCCCAGTCGTTATTTCTTCAGCAAAATGTAGACTAGGATATGAATAATTTTTTTTTCAACGTAGCTCAGGTTGTTGTTTAGAGGAGCAGCAGCACTCCCAGCATTAACCCTGTATTTCAAACCAGGTAGCTCTTGTTGTCAAAGTCACTGCTTCACAGGTCTGCTTCAGATTTCATTGCATCAATCTGAATTATAGACAGAGGTTTTTGGAGGGTTTTGCTTTTAATTAAGAATTTCAAATGAAATATAGAAAGCAGAGGTGTCCTGTGACCTGCATTGCACCTGAGTATTGTTACCGACAGGAGCTGAAGCAATCTACAGTGCTTTATACCTCTTTCTCAGCTGCTTGGCTGATGTGCAGGTTTTTATTTCCTTTCCTTCTGATGAGACACAGAATCACAGAATGTTAGGGGTTGGAAAGGACCTCTGGAGATCATTGAGTCCAACCCCCTTGCCAGAACAGGACCACCACAGAATCTAGGGCACGTCACACAGAAACTCATCCAGACAGGTCTTGAAAGTCTCCAGAGAAGGAGACTGCACAGCCTCTCTGGGCAACCTGTCCCAGGGCTCCATCACTCTCACAGTAAAGAAGTTTTTCTTCATGTTGAGGTGGAACTTCCTATGTTCTAGTTTGCATCCATTGTCCCTTGTTCTATCCCAGGGCACAACTGAAAAGAGACTGGCTCCTCCTTCTTGACACCCATTCTTCACATATTTATATACATTAATTAGATCCCCCCTCAGTCTTCTCCCCTCTAGACTGAACAGCCCCAGGTCTCTCACTCAGCCTTTCCTCATCAGGCAGGTGTTCCAGTCCCTTCATCATCCTTGTAGCCTCCGTTGGACTCTCTCCAGTAGATCCCTGTCCCTCTGGAACCGGGGAGCCCAGAACTCGACACAACACTCCAGATGTGGTCTTAGGAGGGCAGAGTAGAGGGGGAGGAGAACCTCCCTGGACCTGCTGGCCACACTGTTCTTAATTCGTCCCAGGATACGATTGGCCTCCTTGCCCTGTTTGAAGACTGGAGTGACACTGGCCTTCCTCCATCCCTCAGGCACCTCTCCTGTTTTCCATGATCTTTCAGAAATGATGGAGAGTGATTGAGCCAGCTCAATCAGCACACGTGGATGCATCCCATCAAGGCCCATGGATTTGTGTATGTTCAGTTTACCCAACTGATCTCATACCCAATCCTCATTGACCAGTGGAGGGTCATCCTTCCTCTAGCCTTTCTCTCTTATATCCAGGAGCTGGGACTCACAAGGGCTGGTCAGAGTGAAGACTGAAGCAAAGAAGCTGTTCAGTATCTCTGCCTTCTCTGCATCCTGTGGTACCAGGGCTCCCACTTCACTCAGCACTGGACCCACATGTTCCCAGTTCTTCCTTCTAGCACTGATGTATTTGAACAAGCCTTTTTTGTTCTCTTTTACTACCTTAGCCAGGTTTAGTTGTAAGAGGGCTTTGGCCTTCCTTATTGCCTTCCTTCATACCCTGGCAACGTTCCTGTAGTTCTCCAAGAGACAAGTTCCTTTTTCCACCAAGCATGAACTTCTTTCTTCACATGACTTTTTTCAGGAGCTCCTTGCTCATCCATGCAGGTCTCCTTCCTCCTCTACCTGATTTTTTACTCAAAGGAATGAATCTATCTCGAGCTTGGAAGCAGTGATATTTGAAAATTAACCAACTGTTTTGGGCCCCCCTACCTTCCAGAGTCTTAGCCCAAGGGATTTCTGCAAGTAGATCTTTGAAGTAGCCCTCTGGAAGTCCAAGGTTGTAATCCTACTTGTTTCTCTGCTCTTCTTCCTTGTAAAATACTAAGCTTAACCATGCCATGATCACTGTTGCCAAGGCTATCTCCAACCAGACCTTGTTTATTCATTAATAGAAGGTCCAGCAGTGCACCTCTCCTTGTTGGCTCTTCCACTGTCTACATCTGGAAGTTATCATTGATGCACTGCAAGAGCCTTCTGGACTGAGTATGCCTATCTGGGTGGTCTTCATCAAGTATCAGGGTGATTGAAGTCACCCATGAGCACCAAGGCATGTGATCTAGAAGCTACTTCCAGTTGACTGTAGAAGGCCTCATCGATATCTTCCTGGTTTGGTAGTATATTGTGGACACCCACAGTGGTTTTGCCCACTTTTGCATGTCCCTTAATTCTTACCCACCAGCTTTCAACACATTCTTCCTCCCCACCTGTGTAAAGCTCAGTACATTTCAATTGCTCTCACACACAAAGAGCAACTCCACCACCTTGCCTTTTTGGTCTCTCTTCTCTAAAGAGTACATAGCCATCCATCACAACATTCCAGTCATGGGACCTGTCCCACAGCTCCCATGTAATTGCAGTGAGATTGTGGCCCTGTGACTTAATGCAGACCCCCAGCTCCTCCTGCTGATGCCCCGGACTGCCCTGGTGTACAAGCATTTCAGTGAGGTAGTTGAGCACTTAGTTTTGCTCTTGAGGCAAAACTGATTTGGCCTTCTGATTCTCAAAAATGCTGGCACACTGCCCCACAAGTGCTGCTACACCCAGTAGCATGTCCAGTTACATTCCCCTTCCCCTTCAAACGTGGTTTAAAGCCCTGCCAATCAGCCCTCTGATCTCTTTCACAAAAGACCCTCTTCCCTCTTTGAGAAGAAGTTTCCCATGAGGTGCCAGGAAGCCTGGTGCTGGAGAGGCCATCCTGTTGTCACAAAGGCCAAAATTGTTGCAGTGACAACAGCTACAAAGCCACCGATTAACAGGCTGTATTCATCTGTTTATTCCAGTGTCATTGCCTGCAACTGGAAGAAGGGATGAAAAGATAAGCTCTGCCCCAGCATCTTTTGAAAAGTCTCTTTTGATTGAGCTTAGACTGCAAGTCTCAGCTTGCTCTCCACTTATATGGAAGATCAGTAGTGGGTAATAAACTGATGACTGTGTTAAACTAGGAAGTTTCCTAGTGATGTCCTTAACCTGGGCTATGGGGAGACAGCAGACTTCTGCTAGGAGGGTCTACCCAGCATATCGGACCCTCTTTTCCCCTCAGGGAGTCACCTACAAATATAACCCTTCTTTTCTTCCTTGTGGATGTCATTGCAATGCGGGTGGTAGGTCTTTCCAACTGTGGACATACCTCTGGTGTAGGCTGCCCAATGTCCACTTCTTCATTTGCTGGTCTTTCTCAACCAGAGCCTCATATCTCTTTTTCAGTGGCACCTGGGGTGGTGAAGTGGGCAAGGAAGGAATTTTTCTCTTGCCATGACCGCAAACTTGCTTCTATTCACTCCTCTCATTCAGGCTACTGCATTTCTTCACTGAAAGGGTTGTCAGGCATTGGAATAGTTTGCCCAGGGCAGTGGTTGAGTCACCATCTTTGGAGGCATTTAAGCTGCATGTGGACCTGGTGCTTAGGGACATGGTTTAGTGGTTAGCTGTAAGACTGGACTGGATGATCTTGGAGGTCTCTCTCAGGCGGGGACATTCTGTGATTCTGATGGGAGCTCCCATTTCTGTTTCACAGAGGGCAGAGGCTCCACCAGTCTTAGCTCCTTTTCAGCTTCTGTGATGCTCCTTAGCCTTTCAGCTTTTTGCAGCTCTGCCACTTAGCAGAGATCATTCACCTGCTTGCAGCCCGCACAGCAGTTGTCACAACTGCCCCTTGTTGCCAACAAAAGGCTCTGACCCTCTCCGCAGCCTGTGGCCTGCACAGCTGCATGTTTCCGTGGGTCCTCTGTCTGGGTTCCCACATCCACTCTGACTGGTGCTGAGTGCATGGTCTTCTGCCAGGTGAGAGACCACAGTAGGTGTTTTTCTAAGAGGGTGACAACCACCAATAGGGCTCATCTGTCCAGCAAGCAGAGCTGATGTTCCTCCCCTCATGTTTAGCCAGCTCTGCTCCTCTGCCACGGCCACTTGTAAATTTCCCACGGTTGCTCTGTGTTGGGTCCCTACTTCTGCTTTCTGAAAAATGCAGAGAAGTACTTGTAAAAATCACACCTATTCCATAAGCTTCTTGGAGAGACTGGATCAGTGATAATAGGTGGTGATTATGTTCTGGTGCAGGCTGGGTGAAGTATGTGCCTCAGATTGCAGACCTCTGTTCCTCGTGGTGGCAATGGACCGATGATGTTTAGGTGCTGGTTTTGATGCTGTGGTTTCCTCCCGTTTGCTGTTGCATGTGTTTTCTTTTCTTGCTCTTTCAGGTAATCTTGCAGACTCTAAAGACTCACCCCACAAAGAAACAGCTAAAGCTCAGTCTGGCTCTCCCAGAGCAGCAGCAGTCAGTGCCCCAGTCACAGCCACCTTTGGGAAGGCAGTTCAGACGCAGCAGCCCTGCTCTGTCAAGGCCTCTTTGTCTTCTGACATCTGCGCCGGCTTAGGCCCTGAAGGAGGTGACGCCAATGCAAGCTCTGGCCAAGGTGATTTTTTCATACCAGCTGCTCAGCATGTCTTCCAGCACATGCTAAGATTAGTTTGCTTCCCTTATGCTTGAACTTCTTAGGTGTGGATTTCACTTGTAGTGATTTTAGGAACATGAATCTTTGACAGTCCAAATTACTGCCTTACCTTTAAAACGATCATTGCAGTGTTGTCAGAAGAACAACAGTAAAGTGTCTTTCCAAGTGTTAAGAGTCAACCCTCAGGAAGGCGTGCTAATTTTTAGGAAAGAAATACCTTTTATTTCTATACTGACACCTTTTCTGGACTCCACCTTTCAAATTCCAGAGGAAAAAAAGAAAGGAAAAATAAATTATATAAAGGATATGAGATTGTTTCCTTTGGTTCATTTTAGGCTTTTTTTTTGTTTAGCCCCTTGATACTGGTAGATCCAAAGTTCCTCATTATAAACTACTAAACCATCTTGGGTGTGAGGGGAACAAAACGTAAAGTAAAAAAGAAAAGAAAACCAAAACCAGAGAACCAAGTTCTGTTTCCTTTACCCAAGGAGTTAACTTTGTGCATGATTTTGGAGTCCCAGCTAAATGCCTGTAAACTGGCTGTGTTCCCCAGTCCTGACCTCTGGTACCTCTGTGTATTGCACACCTCCTAGGCTTTGACTGATCTTGTTGTCATGCATACTGGAAGTTCTAATGATGATTAAAATACCTTCCTCTCATTGCACATCCTGCCAAACTAATCTACAAAATATCTTACCTGTTCTCTTCTGCTCTTATTGCATCCGTTGTGTATGGTCAATTAACTTACTCCTCTTTGGCAAAGTTAAAATGGAGATGTGGATGTTTTAACTAACAAAGCTGATTTGACTGATGGTATAGGACATCTGATCACAGCTACTTGTACTTTATAAGTGTCTTTGTTTTCTTCCCTTTATATTCATTTGCAGGCTGGACGGTTTTCCACCAAACGTCTGAGAGAGTGACCTATAAATCTAGTAGCAAACCTCGTACCAGATTCCTCAGTGGACCTGTGTCTTTGTCCATCTGTTTGTATTTGTTCTTTTGTATTTTATCACAGTCCATCTTTCTTTTATCCCCTTTTCCAATTCCATGTTTTATATCTATTAATATGTTTGGCAGGATGCCCCTTTTTCTGACCCATCTTTTCTTTCATTTTACCTTTCTTTTGAGTAATCATCATGAACACACCTTATTTCTATTTATTTTTCATATGAAAGCTTTTTTTGCACTGCTTTTGGCTCATGCCTGGGCACCAAAAGCATGTGTGGAAGATCTCATCATTTATTATATAGCCTTATGGTAAATTTTACCCTGGAGTTATCAAAGCTTTTGTACTTTATGTGATTTATGTTGAAGTAATTTTATTTGCAATGTGGCAAATATACATGTCTGCTGTCCCGGTTCCAGCGACAACAAAAAGAAATCCATCCTTCTGTAGACGAATGGTCTCTTTCACACATGTTTGGACTATGAAGACATGCATGTAGCAAGCTGATACAATACTAGAAGGTCACTGAAGGGTATAACTTCCATACAAGGGCTGTATTAACACAATATACAGTACTGTTTATATCCACTCTATTTTATTTAATTTTGACCCCTGCTCTTTGCATGTGGAAATGCTGAGACACTAGTGCTCCAGCTAGTTCTTTCAAAATCTGTTTTCTAGTTGGGCTGTTAACCATACAGTCACTTTTCATTCCTTTCAGTGAGCAGTGTTTGATAGACTCCTAAGCAGTGGGAAGATCTGGTTACTCCAAGGCAGAGTACCAGCAGTTTTTTTGTGTGAGCTGATCTGGCTGAAGCACTTGACTCAGTTTATTTTCTTATGACCTTATGTGACCTCCAAGATGAAGTCAATTAGCAGTTCATCGAAACATAAATAAGTAAAAAGCAATATGAGATTTTCAGCTGATACATTGAAATGGATTGCTAGGATCCAGTATTTTTTGTTTCAAACAATTGTGCACCTGTTATTTGTACCCTATTTATATGACTTCAAAAGTAATTGGCAATTCAACCAAATGGTATCAAGCTATTTAATTAAAAAATTAATAAGACATTTTACCCAATCATATATGCTGCTTTTTAGGCAAACAGATTTTGCTTGTACAATAAAGATATGTTGTGCTGAACAGGTACTATAGGCCACTTACACATAATATTAGAAAGGCTAATAATGTTCTTGAGAAAATGTTTGGCTAACTGTTCATTTGCATTAATATCAGATCTCCCATTGGAGTTCTACATTGCTCATCATTATCCAAGTGGTACAGATCAAAGGCACAAGACCACTCAAATACACTCCTCCTAATTTTATGAATAAACTATTTTTAAAAATAATAGTGATTTTTTTCTGTTGTTTGAGGTCCCTGAAAGTCCAAGCACTCAATTTCTTGAGGACTTATATTTACTGCTCAGCATACTGAGTTTATTACTTTGCAAGTTTTTAATGACTGTTAAAGTCATGAGACAATTTTGCATTCAGGGATTTTTTTCTGAGACCCTGAGGGGAATTCTCAGCTCACAAATTTCCCCATTTGCTATTATAATGGACATCGTACTTTCTTCCTCTGCACGTGTAATTCCCAGAAGTCATTTCCTTAATCTTTCATGGAGTTGCTATCCAGTAGGATGCAAAAAAGACTGGGAGATGGTGATTAAAATTCAGCATACTAAAAATGTTTGGGTGCATGGATATTGTGAACGAAACCAGGGGAATATGTAAATCCTTCCAATCGTGAATTCTCCCCATGCTTAAATAACTCAGCATGACTAATTGTTTTCTGTTCTCAGCCCATATGCTGTCTTCTCCATATCTTCTGGGCGAAGTGTTTGGAGAGGAGATTTGCACTCCCCTGTTTCTGAGTCATTCCAGGAGATGGACTGAGTCTCAGTCCATCTTAACTTAATCCTTAAACCAGCTTAACCCTGAAGCATCCGTAAAGTCTGAGCGTGCAGCTTCCTTTCACACACTGCCTGTCATTAGGTTGCTAGACAGTTTGCCAACAGCTGGTAGGTTTGGGTAGGGTAGGAGGTTGGCTGAGCTGCTTTTCCCAGTAAGTCCAACAGGTTGGTACTGTGTGTGTGAAGGGATGAAGATGGGCTTGGTGTGGCCCCATCGTTCCCCAAGAGTGGCTGGCACTGCTGATGAATGGATGGATGGATGGACGGATGGATGGAGGTTCCAGCCAGGTGGTAGGGAGTAGCTGGGGCCATAGGCTTCAGGAAAAATAGTGCTAGATGATTATGATGGGAATGGGAATGCCAGCTGGCTCATGCTTCTTCCCCTCTGGAGGGGACATGGTTGACCCAGCATGCAGGCAGAGCCCAGCACTGGGACTAGGTGCTTACCAGCTGTGCATCTTTCATGGGATGGGGCTGCCCAGAGTGGGCAGCTTGAGGCTGGTAAGGGTGCTGGGGCTGTTCCACAAGTCCAGGTTGCTCTGGGATTTTTTTGTTTATTTGAGAACTGTTGGGAAAGGTTGTGCTGGATTTTCACAAATGAATGTGTATGTTTGATGAAGGAAGAGCAGCCCTTAGGGGAGCTGAGCTGCTCCCATGTGAGGCCTTTGCTGTTTTAGCAGACAAATTAGCAGCACGCTGCTAAAAATAAATGTACAGAAGACCTTAGAGCACCTTCCAGTACTTGAAGGGGGGTCTACAGGAAAGCTGGGGAGGGGCTTTTCATCAGAGAAGATAGTGATAGGACAAAGTGGTAATGGTTTTAAACTGAGAGAGGAGAGATTTAGGTTAGATATTAGGAAGAAATTCTTCACTCTTAAGGGTGATGAGGAGCTGGAATGGGTTCCCCAGGGAGGTTGTTGATGCCCCATCCCTGGAGGTTTTTAAGGCCAGGATGGACGAGGTTTTGTGCAACCTGGTCTAGTGGTTCCCATCCCATGGCATGGGATGATCTTTAAGGTCCCTTCCAACCTTTATGATTCTATGATTAAAGGTAGTTTTACTAAATATTTTGCCCTGGTTACAAGATCCATCAAAGTTGAACACTTTCACAGTGTTCTTCCAGAGCAGTTTTGTGATCTGATCTGCACATCCGATACTGATTTAGCCTTTGCACTTGCATGGACCAAAATAGTTGTGGTGGTCTTCAGCATAATTTGTAGCCTGATCTCCTTCCCTGGGTTGCAAGGGCAATTAAACTCTGGGAAGGGTTTGGGTTGATCATAAGTGGAATTTTTAAAAGATCCATTTGGCTCAGACTTGTAATCTTGTGTAAAGTGATTTTTGTCAGGTCTATAGTAATGAATATATTGTATGTGCATATGCAGTCCTGGAAATGGTCTAACAATTAATTGCCATTCCAATTTTCTTTTAGTTTTCAAACTTTTTGGCAGCTGCTAAGTTGCAAATATGGCACAGTGGCTCTTTTCTGTCCTATGTGATATAATAGCTACTTAATTTCTCAGATAAGAAATATGGAATTGGAGGTAAAACACTTCACTGAACTTTTGCAGTCTTAGATTAAATCTTAATTATTAATCTCCATAACTTTTACAGCTGTTGAACACCTTGATTTGGAGGTAATAAAATTAATCTGGTGAATTAGGTTTACTAAGTGCATTTTTTAATTGAATTTGAACTTAAAACCAGTTGTAGCTGACAATTGTCAGTCCCTGCTTCAGGCAGTATCACCACTTAGATAACGTTCCTCGTTTCCGAAGCACCATGCTGGGGTGATACTGTTTGGGTGAAATAGCTCTTTTTTAGTGACTGACTCTCCTGCCATGTTTTCCTGAATGCTGGCTCCACTCCTGGGGGCATTTGGTGAATTTGTGGACTGTCACTGTTCTCTGTCTCTTCCCTACCTGGCCGGGGGCCCCAGGTTTGCTTTGGCACCCAAGGTGCATGGGAGCTCGTGACCAGGTTTTCAGGAAGCCAAGGGGTTGTTGATTAAACTTTTTACACACAGTTGAGCATGTACTGTAGTCAGCTGCCTGCTTTTATTTTTCGCAGGCAGTTGCTTTTCATTTGCATACATATTGTGCCAAACACTGCCTACTGCTGCAGTGAGAAAATGGCCTTCTAGTATTGCTGCCACTGGGTCTTCTGTAACGGGAGTTGCTAGGTGACTGGAAGAGGTAAGGTGTATCTGAGGGGAAAAAAATAAAAATACAAAGCTCAGCTGTCAATGTGATTTGTATTTCTTATCAAGGCTTGAGATGAGAAATTAAACTTACTCATGCTTGCATAAGATGCTACTGAAGTCATGTTCTTCTGTTTTTCCTGGCATAGAAACCTCATTAAACTATATGAAATAATAAGAAAATACTTCAAAGCATTCCTCCAATTCCTCCTCATGCACCCGACATCAAAACACAAACATTTCTTCTCTCTTTTTTTCCTTCCTTTTTCCTTTACTTTCTCTTCCTCAGTCTCTGACTGATGTCTCTTTCTCCTTTGAAGACTCATTCAGAGCCTATGTCAATCTGGACCTACAGTCTTTAAGATTAAAGCTGCATTTCTGGCACAGTAACATAAAATATGGACACTGGTTTGCTGTAGAGAAAAAGCACATCCATCTTGTATCTTGCTTTTTGCCCCACTCTCTGATTTTGCTCATGTTTTCAAGTGCTTCTTCACAATAAATGTGCCATGCCCCATGTCAGGTATTCATCTCCTCCCATACCATAATGATATTCTTCTTATCAAGTCCAAAATACCTTTCAGGAAATTTGACACTCAAATAGAAATGGTGCTTATGTCTGGCAAGATCTGACAGTCAAGGAGGGTTCTCAGTATGCTTCTGGCACTCCACCTATCTATCCAACAGAATATGTGATAAAATGATGAAGGATGTAACAAGATGATAATGACAAAACCAATGTTTTTGTAGTTTGGTTAAATGAAAACTCAGCTACTCTGCTGGATTATTTTCTGCACTTGAACAAAGCATAAACAAAATGCATGCACAGTTACTTTCAATTGAAGTTCAGAATCTCACATTTAGACACAAATCCTACTAATAAAGTATTTGGAAACAATTGGCCTCAGACCTGCAGAACAATGTATCTTTTTGGACTTGTAAAACAGGACTTTAGGGTTGTTTTATAGTTTGTCTTTGCAGCCAGACTAGCTTGACTTGTTCCTGAAAGCATTTTTGGCCTCCTGTCACAAACTGAATTTGACATCATTTTCTGCATAAATAGAGTAGGAATCAAAACCTCCTATTAGGAAGCCAAGGCAAGTCGAAAAAAAAGAAAAACAAAACTACCCAAAATAAAACAAAAAACCCAAACAAATGCATCTGTAAGTCAGGACACCTTGCTTTGGCATGCTATTGTACTTTTCAAAGCTTCTGAATGGCTGCACATTAAGAAAGGTTTGAGCTGTCCAGTAATTCAGACTTCTTAACTCACCTGAACTGCTGACTTTGTCTGTCCTTTCTTGCATAATAACTACTCTTTGATTGCTTAAAAGTACAGAAGCTTATCCATCAGATTGGTTGTGTTTAGTCTTACCTAATTCTGTGTGTCTTGTATTGTTTTACCTTGTAGGGTCCACCTTGAAACGACTATGTCTAGGCAAAGATCACAGTAGTAGTAACTATCCTGTTTCTGTTTCTCAGTATTTCCTTCATAGCATGGGATGTTTTTGGCTTTTATTTATTTATTTTATATATATATATTTTTTTTTACTAAAAGCTAGTTGTTTAACAAGTAGAGCTGATGCACTTACATGAAATTAGCCTGTATAAATTGTAATACTTTGATACCAATGCATGTGCTGTGATGTCTTGGGAACCACGCATGCTGCAAGACAGTTGTGGGGTGTGTGTGGGACCGTGCACGCATGTGGCCAGAAACTGGGTTCTGTGTTTGTCTTCCTGAAATACTCACCTTTATATGACTGCAGTTCTCTGCTAGAGGAATTTATGGCTTAAAACCATCTTGTTCTTGTTGAAGCTGCATGAAATATTAAGCACTGATTGAAGAGCTGTCCTGTCAAAATTCTTGTTTTTCTCACTGGTCCCTTTCCCCCAAGCAAAGGAAAAGGCAATGAGCAGTATTCACGTAGAAGTTATGTTGCAGGTTGAATGCATGATCATTTAAAGGTTATTAATGTATTTTATATAACCACAGGACTAATTAGTTTACTCTCTTTCAATGGCTGGTAACTGATTAACACAAACAGGAAGACTCAATGTTCATGTTTGCTCATATAATAATTTTACTACAGTTCTATGAACTTTTTGCTTGGAGAGATGGTCTTTATTTCAAATCTTCAGCTATATCTAATATGTTAGCCAAAAAGTTCCTTGATATTTTCTGCTGAAGTCAAATTCAGGCACCTTCAGTTGCTGTTCCCAGCCCATCTTGCTGTGTCAGACTTGTAGTTACCAACATATAAAAAAGGACAGGTTTTTTTTCTTGTTCTTCTAGAAATAAGTGCACATATGAAAGCAACTATCTGTCAGCACTCTTCCTGTCTGCTTTTACCTATGCCAAAAGTTCTGTGTCTGTATCTTTATCTTTGTCTCAAAATCTCACACACCCACTATGTCCTCCTGTCCTCTTTCTTCTCTATATTTGGGGTCCTGATGGGATTTTTATTTTCCCCCAAGAAATATGCACATGGCAGAGTAGATGATCCTGACGTGATCATGAGAGGTTGTGGGTTCCTGGAACACCTAGAGAGGTGTAGGAGCCAATCCTACTTGTAACCCATATGACAATTACATTTTTCCAGGAGGACAGTAAACTTATGCAAGTAAAACGAATGGTAAATTTATTTTCTACATGCATACAGTTTTAGCCTCTGATGGTGGTCTCCTCTGAAGAGACTCTGTAAGCCTTGGGATGTCCATGTTATGGTCATGGCCATTATTTCTTCTCTCTTAGTCATTAGTGTCACCTGGAGAGAAGCGCTGGGCACAACAGCTAGTGGCTGAGGTAACAGAATGGGATAGAAAATATGGACCCATTGGACTTGGACCATTTCTTTAAGCAAAGGTGTTCTGTAGTAAGGAGGGGGAGGGTTAAATTCTGAAAAGCCACCATTTAAATTGCACTGTTTGAGCAGCAAAGTGGTGATGCAGAGATGCCATTGTCAACTTTCTTTGTGTGTGATTTTCCAGGATCCTCCACAAACAGTCTTGCAACGTGTCCTGAGCCCCTCCCGCAATCCACCTTGCAGGTTCAGGCCAACAACAGTAACAACAAGAAAGGGACCTTCACAGACGATCTTCACAAGCTGGTTGACCAGTGGACAAGCAAAACTGTTGGAGCAGCACAGACAAAACCTTCTTTAAACCAACTGAAGCAGAACCAAAAAAGGCAAGACATGGAGCCAAAGGCTAATCCCATGCAAACACAGAACGAGACATGTGGAGTAAGTGGCACTCCTTGAAGAACATACCTTTTGCTATGTGTCTGACAGCCTTTGCAGAACTCAGATTTGGAGGAGGACATAGACTAAAATTACTTCAGATAGATGCTTCCTATAAATGTCCATCTCTTTAAGTACTAAACCAGATTTTTTAAAATGTGTGTTTTGAAATAACTTTGAGGGATATATATATATAAAGATATATATTTTTAATTGCAAACTGCTTCTTAACAGCAATATGCAGCAATGCTCATACGGTTAACTATATGTTGCCCAACTGAAGCTTTAACTATTCCTAAAGCTTTTTTTAATACTCATCTTCCTTAGGGCAGAAGAGTGGTGGGCTGGAGGTGTGGTGGTAATGAGCCTTTGAGTGGCAGTGCAGTGAGTAGTGTGCTGAGACAGGGCAGCTCGACATGTTTGACTGGTGCTTGTTGTCCTGGGCATCTCTGGGGCTGCCTCATGAAAACACCATCTGCAGCATTGCAGTGAGAGTAAACTAAACAACATGGGAATTAGAAGCACCCCCATTCAGACCCTCTTAGTCTCAGTAGCAGGAAAAAACCATTGCGACCTGTGTTTGTGTCTGTGTTCCTGTTTTCGTGGCCGAGGGATGGTACAGGGCCAGGCACAAAAGTGAAGGAAGATACATCCAGAATCCCAGTTTATCATTTTGTCCCACCCCAGTCTGGGTTTCCAGCCCTTTTCTTCCGCCTCACGGTTGGATGATTCTTTGACTAAATTTTTTGCTGGATTATGTTTTCTGGAAGAGTGGAGCTTGAGCCGAAGGTGAGGAAAACAAATGAATCTGAAAAGCAAAGAAACAGTGAAAACAAAACCAACACAGGGGTGCTTTGTTATCCCTTAGAAACAAGATAACTGTCTACCACCCAAGGTCCAGATAGTGAAGCATTGCCTTTTTGGGATGTTGAAGGAAAAAAAAACTTGTCTGCAGCAGTGGTAGCTCTGTAGCTGTTTGTGTGTGACAGCAGGAACCACCCTAATGCCTCTAACTTGGTACCTGCTGGTCTTGGAACTTGGAAGGTCACTGATTGCACAGGGAAAAACATTTGTGCAAATTTGTTGAGCAGTGTTACGTAAATAAAAATGGAGAGTAAATAATCCTCCTGTGCAGTGACGGTTTAACCAGTATAAGCCCATCCTGTAGTAACAGCAGTGTCTCCTGAAGACTCTATATTAATTCTCCCAAAATAAAGCAAGTCCTAGTAAATACAAATTGAAGATTTCTAGAAAGTCGTGGTGAGGGCCCAAATTTTGCTCCATGTCACTTCTTACCATCATTTGATGTGCTTTTTACAGGTTGTTGTCTTTCCCCTGAGACTCCTGCAGTAGTTTGTGTTCCATGGGGCTGTTCTGCCCACTTGAAACTCTGGGAAAGAGAGTGGCTGTTTTGCTTATTTAAATAATTCGTTAACATTGATTTACTTTTCCCTTCTGCAGTCTTGGTGTGTCCATTTCAAATCCCATGGAGATGGCAGAAAATTGCTGTGAGAGGAACAGGAGCATCCCTGGCTTAATACATTGATTTTAGAGTTTATTTCTTTCTAGAAGATGGCAGTTATTTCAGGGAGTTAAACAAGCCTGGTTGAAATATTTTACAGCTAATTTACCAAGAGCTCAGAGGGCTTGAGTTTCCCAGCTCTTCATTTCATGTTATTCCTTGTTCCTAGGAAGGGTAAGTTGGCTGGAGGCCCTGCCAGCCCCACACCACCTCCCCCGGGGTGGCTTTGAAGCCCTTGCACAGATACATGGAATGCAGAAGATGACAAGGTAGATGGCAGAGCTTCCTAGCATGGCTAGTGTTGAGGTATTTTGGCCGTGGAGATGACAGTGCATCAGAGATTATGGAAAACAGGGCAGGAGATATGATTTAAAAGACTTCTACAACAGCTCAAGGGCTGTTGTCATTCTGCTGGTTGTGTCTTCTGCAATTCACCTTGAAGGTGAAACTGCAGTTCAGGGAGGAGAGGGCTATATGATGTTGGGAGAAAAACAGCCAGAAGAGGAGGAAGGAAATTATGTGAAAGGATCTGGTTTGGACAGACAGACAAGTGACCTGTAGCATCAGTTCATGGAGTGATGAGTTACATGGGAGATGTTGTACCTGCACGGAATCACTGTTGAGTCCACTGCATCAAATGGTCTTGTGTCCTGCTTTAAATATTAAAGGTGAATCCCAAAAACCAGAGGACAGAATTGCTCTCTATTACACCCCTCCACCCTCCCAAGGGAAGACAGAAGGGGAATAAGGAAGAGAGACAAACTTTGGAAATTGAAACTAGATACAATTTACTATAACACAAGATAAAAGGGTAAAACGTGGAGGGGGAAGAACAGGTAAGTATCTCCATACAAAACTGATCTGGATGATGGCAGGGATATGGGAAAGGCAGGGCTGCTCCAGGGGAGAGGTGCACGGCTCCTCACAGCACCCGACGCAGGTGGATTCAGGAGTGAGCGCCTGGGAAGCTCAAGGCAGCAGCAGCAGCCGCGGCAGGGAGAAAGGAGCAGGAAGGGAGCAGGCCCAGCTTCCAGCTCTCCTGGCTTGGATAGATTGTGACAGGGAGTGGGGGGGAATCCTGACCCTTCCAGTCTTTCAGGGTCCAAGGACCCTCTCTCTCTAGACATGTCCAACACTGTGCCAGGGTCTCCCAAACTCTTAACATCTTGAAAAGACAAAAGTAACTCAGGAAATCCCATGAAGGTTGGAAAAAATTACTTTCTAACAGGGAGCATATAAAGCTCAGGTGGGACTTCTTCAGTCCAGCTATTAACACCATATTTTCATTGTCTCTTAGATCAAATACAAAAATGCCTTTTCAGAAAAAGAATAAGGAGCATTGAACAGATTTGCAGCCCACCAGAGAAAGTTATAATAAGGCTTTATCTTGGAAATGAAGTCTAGATAAATAGGAACTGTGATGATTCTTATCCCTTTTTTTCTTGACCAGAACAAACTAGCAGGAAACTTAGGGCAGGTTGTCTCGTCTTCAAACTGGGTGGTTTGGTTATGGAGATGCTGTTGTTGATCCCATGCAATGGTGGGAAATGAGGGGCAGGAGGGAGGCAGAATTCATACCTTCACTTCTACATTTTCTCTAGGGTTTATTGGCCAGGAAGATGTTTCCATGGAAGAGTTTTTAATCACGAGTAGGAGTGAGATGAGTTGTCCCAGGGTGCTCTGTTGGTTTGAGATCCCCTGGAACTGGCAGCACACAGAGGCCACACAGGGGACTTTCACCCCAGGGTGAAAGTCAAGGGCTCCTGTTATACAGGGTATGACAAAGGTGGCATCAAACCAAATGGCCCCTCTCTATTATTATTTTATATTTTTTTCAGTCTCTTAGGCCAAATGAAAATCACAAGAACTCCTTATTGTTTAGGGGTCATATTTTATTTATTTTGTTAATGTTTTATTTTCTCTTGCTCTCCACCCATTGTTATTAATGTGCAGAGTAGTTGTGTGGTCAGTTTTGAGTCTTCTCTGGAAACAGAGGACTGATTTTCCTGAGTTATATTTTCCTGAGATGTTTCTACCACCATCAGCAAATTGTTTCCCTTGTGAATACCGTATCTTATTGGTACCTTTTTATAACTAAGTGCAGGCTACTCTTTAAGGTTGGAAATCAACTTAGAAGAGAAATTGGTGGTATATTTAACAGCTAGTGGTGTTGTTTTCTTCCTCTTTGTCAACAGAAGTGTAGAAAGCAATAAAATAATTGGGATGGAAAGGAAGACTTTAAATTCTGCTTTGTTTGCATATTGTTTCGGCTGCAAATCCTGGTTGATACATATTAGAAGTTTCTGGGGGAACCTTTGGGCAACCAGTTATGTCACAGGTGCCCTGAAATGTTCCTTTTCAAGTGTTTTATTTAAATATGGAAATACACATGGATTCTCATCACCAGTAATTTGAAATGTAATAGGAGATGTTAGGAAGCACTGAAGTCAAACTGCCTGATAATAGTTATTTCTCTTGTGCTCATCTGTGTTGAAGTCATGATGAAATTATCAGTTTTTATAGGTAATTGTGGTGACCACCTGTCAAGGAATATTCCTTGGGAGCTGCACTGTGTGTAAAGCATACTGAATGTTGTGTAGTTACAGGTATTATTTGAAGATGCCTGGGAATAAAGGGCTTGCCAAAAAGATATTTTCTATTCTTCATGCTCTTAGGTCCATGGGTTTGAAAGAAATAACTGTTACCCAAAAAAAGCTATAATCATGCTCCAAGTCTCTAACAAGGTGGTTTCTGTGAGGCGTGCAGGTCTGTGTCAGTCGGTGACATAAATAGGAACTGTGATGATTCTTACCCCTTTTTTCTTGACCAGAACAAACTAGCAAGGTGCTTTGGGCACCACCAGCAACATCCACGTGTCTGTGTGTAGTATATGGGGTCTGGGGAGTTGGCTGTGGGGCAGCAGGCTCTGTGCTGAGAGCCACCAGTGTGGAAATGGGACTGAAGGACCAGAAACACCTTTTACTGTCTCTTCTGTCTCAGTTGGATCTGAAGAATAGTAAAAAAATAGGGTTAGTCTGTGATTGAATCTATTCAATGCTGCCTCTGTGGTCTGAATGTAAGCGCAGCTTTCCAGGAGCGTGGGGGGCCCAGACACCAGTCTTCAGCAGCATCAGATAACTTGGGGTTAGGGGAAACTGGAAAAGGGTGATAAAAAAGACGTATTGGCATCCTTGCCCTGCTGGTGTTGGCAACCAGCTCTGACCCTGTTCTGTCATCCAGGCAGATGTTTCACTGGTTCTTGGAGGTTGGTTTTTGCTGTTTTCAGCACTGCTGGTAGCGTAGCCATCAAAATAGAGCTGGAAATAAAATGCTCTAAATCCTGCAATATCAGAATTAGGTGTGATAAGGTATGGGCAACTTTCCTGGCAGAATTACCTGGGTTCGTCTGTTCTAAATATTTATGATGTTCATCATCAAACACAACTTTCAGTGTACTGGAGCTATCAGTATTACTCAGGTG